TATGAACTATAAATTCAATCCAGACGTTTCTAATCTTTCTTCTTATAGTTAGTCCTTGTCGAACTATTGACAAAGACTGTTTAATTTGTTTTACGTATGTTTACCGATACAACATATCTTAACATGCCGCAATCATCTAATGTTTTATAAAATATTTCTTTTATGCATATTTAGATCAGAAGAGTGAGTTGAAAGTATCAATGATAAATACGTGTTAAATTCACCTTTCTGTCTTTTATTTATAAGCTTCTATTCCCCATACCAGAGTTATTATTCCTTTTTCCTCCTCTTATTATTATCTTCTACATGAAAATCAAAACGGATAAAGGCGAATGATCAGACTTTTTTAATCAATACTTTCATGTTAATAACATTTTAATCTTAACAATAAATTGATATAAATACGTAAATTGTTACAGAAGATCCCTGAATAGAAAAATGAATAAATTTTCCGTCTCCGTTGTACTATTCAAGCATATCAAGGAATTCTCATACTAAGAAAAGTTCAATAAATCTTTGCCTCTATAATCCATTCCTCCATCCATTGATTTTCTTGAGACTTGTCCTGAGTGTCCAATACTAAGAAAATGTGTTTGGTCTCTGATTCTACTATTGAAATATTCATCGATAACTACATATTTGTTATGAGTATCTATCTATTACAAGTATCTATCAATTTGCTTTGATACGATCCATTTTTATACTGAGACAAGTATAGAACATTATTAGTAAGTGGGATTATAAAATCGTTAAATATTTATATTCACTTCACAGATCTAAAAAATCACGGATGTAGTATAAAATTAATGAATATTTCAGAAGAAGAACATCCTCTACTAGCTTCCTTATTGCAAAATTATTAGCTAGCTCAAATTTACCCTTCTTATAATTCGGAAACTCATATTTATTAGTATGCCAGATTTTTCTACTAAACAGAAGCAATGATAATCTTACAGGACCGCCCAGATATCAAAAATAAAGTGTTTTATGATTGAAAACTTAGATATTGTAAATAACAATTTCAATGGAAATACATTAATATTTAGAACTGTCGGCCCATCAACTGACCGTCTATAGCCTATAAATCTGTTGGCTGAAATCTATCTTGAACACAAAATAATTCGCAGTTCTCTGCGTACTCTGATCGTCCAAATTATAAATATATTCTTGATTATTTTTATTTTGAGTAACATGGTATCATCATGTTATTCAAATTCTGCACGAATAAAACACCTATTCCTGGAGCCTTCGAGAGAATGGAGAGCAGTCGGTGTAAAGAACATTTTGGGCCCGTTTCGGGGATCCGTCTTATACAAATACCGATGACAATAAAGTAGAAAAATAATCTACTGTAAATGTTAGCTCATGGCCAAAGTTATTGGAAAAAAATCATCAGAAAATGGACATTTTTTTAATTTTTCCTCTTTAATGGGTCCCTTAAAGCTCATGGGTTGCGAGATGTCATCCGGTTGCACCTCCTCTCATAAGACTTGCTTATTCCAAAAACAACAGATTCCTATTAATTTATCAGATAATTTCCACAGCAAACAGTTTATGTCTTTCCATAAACTCCATGTCTCATATCAATTTTTTCCTCTATGCATTCATAATCTTAGTAATAGGTAATAGTTTACGTCTGCTGTACCTGGATCTCCAACAGAATTCTGCAAGATAGTTTTAAAATAATTATTTCGCAACGATGCAGGTTTATTCTTCCAAAATTATTTTAATATCAAGTTTCTGTTAGTCTTGTTATTCAATGTTAGTTTAACTAATTTATATGTTTACCGGATTAATGATTTACTATATCCAGAATATCAGAGGATTTTGGAGCTATTTCTAACGTTTTCTTGCAAAATTTACCAAATATGAGAAAAAAAATGGAAAATTCAATACTATATTTTTCGTTAGAATTTCGCTATTTAAACGGTTTAATTCGAACTTGCACTGATTTCTATTATCCTCATAAGTTTTTACCTTCTCTTGTAACTTGATAGTCCTATGTTTTGTTCTGAAGTTATTACCAAATTCAAATTAGAATTATCTATTTCAACGAGTTCTTTGCCGGCAAGTTTCCAGGTTTATCCCCCCTCTCTTTTGTATATTCTGTTGTTTTAAATTAGATGTGGGTAGTTCAGATTAGAACGGTTCTAAAGGAATCGTTCCGTACTCGGAAGTACGAGGAACAATCCACACCGAGTGTCCAGACAGTTCCTGTCGTAACTAATATCGCGTTCTTCATTTTGTACAGTACTTTTACGAATACGGTTTTCCACGGAACGATGAATTCTTTATCTGGATTTGAACTTTAACTAATGAAAATGTTCTATGAATTTTTAGTAGTAATCAATTAGTTTATAGTATTTTAAATTTACAAAGATATTTTAAAAACTTTATTTTTATTAGAGTTCATAATTAATTGTTTTACTGTATTAGTAACCAACAAATACGTTCGGTATCATCTATGCAATTAGGAAAATGGCTAAACGTTAAAGTGAAAATCTTATTACAAATTTGATTTTAGCTTACAGTTGTTATGTTTATGGCGAAGTGTCGAGGAGATCAAATTATGAGAATAGTGGGTAGTCCAGATTTTCTGAAAGTCTATATATTCTCCTGAATCCTAGAGAATAAGCATGAAAAATTTTATGCGGATCGGACAAAGGGTTTAGGAGTTAATAAGGGGGATGAAATCAGAAGAGGAGTAAGAAGTCCAGGTTTAGTGGTTCTATAATTTCCTAAGATTAAGAGTTAATTAAAGAAGAATAATTTGCAGCAGATCAACCAAAAAACAAAGAATAGAGAAACAAATATATTATATCCTACATAAAACCGACGAGAGACTGTCTAGTCCATTCCGACGTTACGTAATGATTCCGAGGAACCGTCTAGCCTAATTGATCTGACAGAACCGTCTAGCTTAATAGTTACACACTTGAATGAGTTCCAATAGATCCAGCAGCAGAACTGGATCTTTCACCTCTAATTCTAATTCCGTTCGAAGAGGTTCGTTGTAAACGTCCGTAATTTTGCTCAATCCCAGCACAAATTAACGAAATTCTTATCAAAACAATATCAATAACACTTTTCCTAACCATAATGAAAGCTTTAGAAAAATATTCTCTATTAATTAATAATTAGAACGTAGAATATTCACATTGTGAGCAAAACACACCAGTAGTAACGAGTGTAAACAATGCCTCCAGCAACGACGTTTTGTTGGAGTTGTAGATTTATATTTTTATAAATTAATTATATCTATAATAGAAATATTATAAAAACTTTTGTTATAATTTTCAAAACTTCCATCAACTGAAACACCACTTTATTATTTTATACATTTTAAGTTCTAGCTAAAGTAATTACGTTAATTTATAAATCTTCAAATTTAAAGTACTTGGAGAAAAATAATTTTAAAGTTAAATTTTTGAGAAATAAACCATAAAATTGCGATATTTTTGCCTTGTGTTAAATATAATGATAAAGCTTTCAAAATTATGAGATGAAATTTCTGTTAATTGCATTTATAGAATATATTATTGAATATTTTTTATTACAATAAGTTTTTGTTGAATTTAGAGTGTAAAATACTTAATTAAATTGACTTATTATTTACTTTAGTGGCGGTGACACAGAATTATTGATGACTGCGGATTAGAAAAATTTATTTCAATGCAGAAAAATAAATACATTTTAAATTTTTACGCTTTTGGCATAATTTCAAACATTAAAATTTCAAAATAAGTAATAATTTTAGCTTAATAAATATACGTAAAAGCTTTCTTATTTATTGATCATAGAAATAACACTAAATACATTAATTACGAATAAACTATGCAATTCTTACTAATTGTAAAAATATTAGAAATGAAATAGTTGATCAAAAAAGAATAATTAATAATAATAATAATAGGAAATATCTACAGAAATTCTTTTAAATTCCTAAACTTCATAATTTGGGAATAAAATAAATTTATGTACTGTACAAAACAAAAGTTAATGCACTATTTTAATCGTATTAAACTAATACATTTAAAAATTATTAAAATGATTCGTATAATATTATAGTTGTTAGATAATATAATAGAATTTTAAAATTTCCTTATTTAATTTATTGTTCCTTAAGGCTCTTATAATCTATCTAGCAGTTGATGATTGAAATATCATATAAAAATATGAAAATATGATATAAAAATTTTATTTTTATAACGTTCAATTAAAAATTTATAATTCTATTTATTCATAGCTGTTTTATTTTAAAGAATATATTAACGTAACTTAAATATAATTCAAGTGATTAATCTTGATCTGTAATATCAGAATCTAAAATACATAACAACTTGTTGTTGTTGTAAAGATAGTACAGTAACCCCTCGTTATATTGTTCATTCGGATAAATCACGATTTTTTTTCCTTCTTTCCAAAATAAAAGAAAGCCCTTGTGCAAATTATTTTTAAAAAATTGGTTGTTATTGAAATTCAGAGAAATGCCGGAAGATTTGCACATGGTGTTCATAGATCTGGAAAAGGCATATAATAGGGTACTAAGGCAAGAGATATGGAGATGTATGAAGGGAAAAGAATGCTCCAGAAAAATGTTTTAGGCTCATCAAGGAAATGTACGAGGGATCGGAGACTCAAGTTAAGAGTAGCATGACCATTACAGAAGGGTTCTCCGTTAATGGTTTACATCAGAGATTGGCCCTTAGCCTTTATCTGTTTGACCTGATAATGAAAGTGTTGGTTTGTGAGGTGAAGTGTGGTGCTCCGTGGAGTATGCTGTTTCCGGGTGATATTGTGCTGTTTGAACCTTCCCAAACCAAATATGAGAAGAAACTGGAAGAATGGATGAAAGTTTTTGAAGAATGGAGCGTGAGGATTAGCAGAAATAAAACAGTTTATATTATCTGAATGGCAGGGACGAGTGCAATATTAATTAAAATCAGAAATGTGTCGCTTTCTATGGTTCCAAGTTTTAAGTATCTAGGGCCTTTGTCAAGATGGGGGAACGATTGAACTCGGAAGTGCAACATAGAATTCAATGTGGAGGGTTGAACTGGAGAAACTTGAGTGGTGTATTATGTGACAAGAAATTCAGCTGCAAACTGAAAGGTAAATTGTACAAATCGGTTGTTAGACCTGGAATGTTGTATGGGGCTGAGACATGGGCAATCACAAGAACCCAAGAAAGAAAGATGGAGGTGGCGGAGATAAGAATGTTGAGATGGATGTGTGGCGTATCAAGGAAGGATAGAATAAGAAACGAGTTTATTAGAGGTTCTGTTAAGGTGGGTCCCTTGAGCAGGAAGATGCAAGAAGACACGTTGAGATGGTTTGGCCATGTAGAGCAAAGTAGTGAAGATTATGCTGGAAAGAAAGTCGGAAAACTGGTAGCGAAAGGAATGAGGAAAAGAGGAAGACCAAGGCTGCATTGGAAAGATAGGTGGAGGAAGACTTGGATCAGAGGGGACTAAAGAGAGAAGACGCCCTTGATAGGAAGAAATGGAAGAAACATATTAAAGAAGGAAACACCGACCCGATATAAACAAACGAAAAGACGAAGATAAAGAAGAAGGTTGTTATTGAATTTCTACCAGCGAAGAAATATTACCTTATTTTAATAATTAACTTTGAAACTATAATGTATGAAATACAACTCACACAATCGGCGTAGACATCAAAAACAGAGAAAACAAGTGAAGAAATTATCAGTAATATCATCACACGTTTGGTTTGTTTCCCTACCTGCGAGGTATAACAAGGGGTTGCACTATTTTAATTTTTTTTTTTTTTTTGTAAAATGATATTTACTGTAACAATTACAGAATTTGCAAACTTAAAACGTGTTTCTTAAAATTTTTATTATTATTATTTTTCTCTTTTAATTTTAAATTATAGATATACTGCTGTAATGTCTCTGAATGTATTTAAAATTTATTTTCTGTTTGAAATTTTGTACTTGTGTGTAATTTTTTATTAAGACAAATTCGAATTTAAAACGGTTCGAATATTTGGTTAAAAATCTAAATATATAAAAATATTTATAACAATCTCTGAAATGTTATCAATTTAATACGCCTAAGTACTCAATCAAGACTAAACGTAGCTTAAAACAAAAAGCGCATCTAAAATAGTACAGTAGAAGCCGTACTTCAGGTTAAATATTAATGCTCTCCTTATCCCCCGAGGGGGAATTTCGAAAAATTCCTTCTTAGTGTGCGTTTTCATGACGTACCCTAACTGTGTACAAAATTTCACTTCTTTAGGTTCAGCGATTTGCTCTGGGCTATGAAGAATCAATCACTCAGTCAGTCATTCAGTCAGGACAAGTAATTTTATATATTTAGATTATGTCTATTCTTTTTGATATAGCTGAAATGACAATTATTTAATTAAATACTGTAGCTTACAACCTTCTTGGTAATTAATTGTTACGACTAAAACAAAAACAAAACGAATGAGATGTTTGGAAATAAAAAAGCAACAAAAAAGAAATCATTTTTTTACTGTACTTCAATAACCAACGACAGAGTAAATAAAAACCAATAAACACTGGTCTTGGATTTCCGCTTCAACAACGGGATGGTCACGTGAAAGTTTTCTGAGTTTTTTCACATGTCTAACACTTAACTGGGAACCAGTTTCCCAAAGAAAGTTCTCCCGGGAGGCATCCATTCCCTTGGCAGATCGCCCATGTCTTCTGTTTCCATTTTCCTTCAAACCAAACCAATACAATTGACCCCCCATAACGCGGTAGATACGTCCTATTTTATAAGAATTTCACGTTGTAGGAATCCTTAAATACATGAGACAATCGCAGCCCGACACGTGTGTAGTTTACGGACTACGGCTGTTTGAAAAATTTTCTTCCATAAAATTAATCGATTCTAGGCTAATTTGACTCAACATTTCCAAAACACGTATAATTTTTTGGGAATAATCCGTATGAAGTATGCTATAAACAAAAAATTGTAGGATTACTTACCGAGTGTGCACCGTTCGACGACGCCATTGCTTAAGCTTGTCTTCGTCGCGGAGCAGCGCACCAAACGGCGGGCGCGTTTTCTGATAAGTTATTTTTCTGGGAAAAATTCGTTGAACTTTGGAGACATCATTAATATAAATAATTTTTATGGCCGTTGAATAAGAAATGTTTCTTTCACAAGAAATGTATAAAATTACAGTGCTGTATTAGACTTACAGTACTTAATTTATATACTGTACAGACGATAGTAAACTAAACTTACCCGCCTAAACTCTCCGTAGTGTGTAAGTATTGATAGTTCGGCTGCTCGTTCACTATTGGTCCAGATTCGACCAATCCTGTCGTGACATGAGTCAGCGATGACATTTTACCGCATTTTACGAGTCTCTTTTAGTGTCTTTATACGAATACGGTCGCAATTTTTTGCCGCGATATACGAATCCGCATTATATGAACCGCGTTATAGGGTGGGTCGACTGTATATAGTTTCACATTTTATATGTATTCGTTACCGTTTTCAAGAGCATTAATACGAGTATCATCATAGTGATTCTGTATAATATGCAAACAAAGCTGTTGATAAATAAGAGTTACGTATTTTAAAATTGTTTTTAAATCTTTGACGGTTTCTTTTAGTAATTTCGTATTTTTTCCAGTAAAAAGTATACTAGACAAAGAAGATAATTTGATTCCTCTTTTTCAACATTTGCTTTTTTGAAATCTTTGTTTAGAAGACATTTAATAAATAATGGATTCGGTAAAATCTTTATGAATACAAAAATCAAACTTGATAAAATTTTACCGAATCACGAACTTCAGTAGTTACTTCGTTTCTAGTAAAAAAAATTTTGTAAAATGTAAAAATCTTCTTGTGTCATTATTACTACTTCTAACAGATTAGATCTCTTACACTTCCTCACTGAGTCAAGCCGCGGTGAAGGGAGTAAATTTCTCTTAAATTTTTTCCTTAGTATTATTCAATAAAAGTAAAGACACGATCAAGAAGTGGGAAAGTGTGATTAGTTATAAGAAATATATGTTGTATGGTTTCAAATTTTTGTTTTCTTACTAGTTTAAGATATGTAGCGACATTACTAACCAGTTTTTGTTTTGGCATTCAAAGTTTGCTGTAAATATAATAACTCTTCGGATTCTATTGTTTTTTAAATATTAAAATGTTTAAATATCACACTTGCAATTTCTTCGTTGCTACGTTTAGCAGTAGTTTCCATCTACGTATAGATTGTTTTTTTTTAATATTAGCGCAATCATGCCTTTATCTCTAATTATTATTCCACAGGTTTCTTAGATTAAAAGCTGGTCCTACTTCGAAGTTAGAAAAGGTAATGTGTACTGTAGGTCAAGTAAAATTAGAAATTTGTGTTTGTTTTCTTTAATAAGTAAATTTCTTTCTTTAAATCAAAGAAGAGCTATGCAAACCAATGTAATGGTTTGCATAGTTTTTCTTTGATGTAATTTTCATTTCAGCAGTCAAGATCTTTTACGATTTCTTCATGAACGAATTCAACCATTTCTCTGTGTAATTTAATTGATCTATTTTGATGTCTTCCTCTTTTATCTACTTTAGGAGTTGTTCTTCCATTAGATATTTGTTTGCAGAAATCTTTACTCTACTTGCTTATTTTTAAAGGCTAAGTAAAGAAAAAAACTATTTTTAAAGAACTATGGAAAACTTGTACATCTAATCCATTTATTTTAAAGGAATATAAATATATAACTTTTTTCATACCTTCGATCCTTGTCTCTTTCATTTTCTTGGAAATAATATTAACTGAAAAAAATTAATTATGCGTGTCGTAATTAAACTAAATCCCAAAATGAGTAAAAATGCTAGCTTCCTTCTCATATTATTATTTTTTTTTTTTTCCTGCATTCTGTTTTGAACCCATAAGACTTTTCTAGTGTTCTGGGTTCCTTAATTCCTGTTTACTCTTGTAATATACCCAAATCCCAAATTTCATTTCTTCTCTCAATTAATCATTTACTTTTTATTATACAGAATAGACCAACTATTTACTTTCTTGGCTGTTATACAGGATATAGCAAAGGGAAAGTGTGACGATCGATCAAAAATGACCCCCAACATTTTTACATTTTGGACTCGGGACCTTGAAACGTTGAGAAACGAATAAAATTTCGGTGATTTTTCAGTAAGTATATTTATTAGTGTGTGGGGGCACGATTTTGTTCATTTAATTTTAAGCTTAATAACTTCTGTGCCTTTTGTCGAAAGTTTCACAAATTTTTCAGGGATGTTCGTGTATTAGGGGAATTGATGCTATTAAATTTTGGTGGTTAAAGGTTAAGAAGATTGGGAGATCGATGGAGATCACGTTTCATATCTCGAGTGGGGTCGTACTCATTATTAGCATTTACATTCCTTTTTTTATATATAAAATGCATCTCTACTCTCAAAATTAAGCTTTTTGTCATTATGTATCAAGCTTAATTTATACAGGTTAATATTTTTAATCGATAGCCTAAAAATTGTTTATTTTTCTTCAAGTTGTTATATAATAAAGCGTCTCATGATTTTTATGGAAAACTAATGGCAATCTTTCATATTATCATCAGAACTTGTCTCCATTGCTATCTTTCGAGTCTTTTAATTAATAAATTTTCATTTATTGCTTTCATCCTTACCTGCTGCATCTACACCATGATGGAATCTAACGGCTTATATCGATTTTTTTCTAATACGCGTAAACTTGCGCATTACCCAAGAAAGGCAATTTGCCCTACCTTCATCATCTGATGTTAGATTTTTATAATATTTTGTACGAGGCTTGAGACTTTATGAGCAAATAAGATGGTATATATAATCGTAAGATGTGTTTCCTAAGGAATTACAGTGTAAAGAAAAATTAAGTCCAACGATCGACGAATTTTGTCGACTTGTTCACCCTCACTACAAATTCATTTTGTGAATGTATTTGATTTACTTAATCCATAATTTATAATTGATTATTCATTCAATATTTATATTAAATGAAATTAATTTAGTGGTAAAACCAACATTCACAAAGCAAGCAATCGATTACAGCAGAAGTCGACTCAAATCTAAACCATACAATATTTTATGGATAGTTTAAGACTCCGTTCAATTATAGTTACATCGCTCATATTGTTTTATGTGTTGCTATTCACAATTCTTAAATTTTTCTTATTATGATAACAGGTTAATTCAATAAGAAAAATTTAAGGAGTTTGTAAAATTCTTATTTTCATAAGAAAGTAATTTTGTAAAATTTTAAATTCCATAAGAAATTCAATCAAAAGAGATTAAACTAGGTATTAGCTGGGTTGAATTTTTGATACTTCTTACTATATAAAAAAAGAAATTTGTTCTTTATACATTTCGACACGGTTTGAGCAAATGTAATGAAACTTTCAGATAATCCAAGAGGTCGATAAATGCTTTTGGTCGAATTAACTCCAATTTCCCATCCACAACAGGTTTCATTTCTA